AAAGCCCAAAGCCCTTTGGTGCCGTCTGGGTCCCTCTGCCCCGTATCAGAGCTGCCCGCACAGCATCCTTCCTCCAGCAACCCCTGTCTCATGAATAAATGAAAAATAAAGGCTGGTGTATCGGTGGTGGGGTCACCCAGGAAAGCCCTTTGGTGCCGTCTCAGCACTGGGTCCCTCTGCCCCGTATCAGAGCTGCCCGCACAGCATCCTTCCTCCAGCAACCCCCCATCTCCTGGTACCCTTGAAATCCCCAAATCCAGCGGGCAGCTGAATTTGGCTGCGTGTTTCTGGGCAGGCAGGCTGCGCTGGGGCTGGTGTCTGAGTTCAGTGGAGTGGCAGAGTGCCCTGCAGAGGCTTGGGGCGAGCTCTGGGCTTTACGGAGGGTTAGCTGAAATAACTCTCAGCTCTTTATTCTTCGCAAAGCGGTGTATTTAACACCCCTGCGGCAGCGCAGAGGGCAGACTCGCACCAGCCTCGCGTGGGCAGAGTCGGGGCATCTCTGCATCTCACTCACGGTCCCTGCCTCCGCCCCTGTAGCTTTTATCCGAGGCCGATGCCAGGTTTCACCCAGCAATGCCTTGGAGCTTAACCGGGCGTATCCTGCAGCACCTGGCCTGGCAAGCCCTTCCCCAGCTGTTTTTGGCCCCAAGCTGGGAGCCTGGCTCAGCTTCGCTTACCCCTTCTATTTTAAGGAGGATGCTCCGAGTCGCGGGGGCGGCACGGCAACACGTATCCCAGCCTGCTGGTTTTGGCTCTGTTTCCAAACTGTGGGGATGAATGTGATGTATTTATTTGTGATTTGCTGCTTGGAGCTGGCAGGTAACGGCCTCGCGCCTTCCCCCCTACCCGCCATTAAAAAATACAGGGAGTTTTGCAAGAAGCCCTTTTTCACCGCGGGGAAAATAAGGCTGAAGCTCGGGCATGGTGTAAATGTCTTGATAAGGGCTCCTGGGCGGCTGCGGGGGGAGACAGCGGGAGAGGCGCCCTGATGAGGCACCCTGCCCCAGGCCTGAGGCTCAGGCGATGGGCTGGGAGGCTCGAGCCGTGTCGGGAGGTGGGATGTCCATCCTTTCTTCTTTTACCTTACCTGGAGCAAAGGAAAAACACCGGGGATGGTTTCTGGTCCCAGGCTTTTGCGGGAAGCGAGGAATCTCTTCTGACCCCGAGATAGCCCCAAAAATACGCACAGCCTCTTCCTTGCGTTGTAGGCAAGAGATATTAATTCATTTTAAGCATCCAAGCGCAGAGTTGAGACAGAAAGCAGACCCCACCTGCCAGCCTTGCGGACCCGCAGCTCGGCAGCGCTGGGGACGAGACGCCGCCTCCGATTTTCGCCGCTGATGCAGAGATGAAGTGTGAATTTGCATGTGAAATTAGCCCACGCTGATGAGGTCTGGTTTAATTTCTTGGCCAAGCCTTCCTCCTAGAAACTCACAGTGCCCTGCAGAAGGTGACACCCGATTTCTCTTCTCCTTTGTGAAAAAGGAATTTATTCCCCCAGGAATTATATTTTTTTTTTTAAGTGAAGATGATGGCTTTTCCTCTCCCTTTATTCCCTCACTTATTTTAGCAGCAGCGTTTGAGCAAAGTGAGTGATTTTTTTTAATAGTTTGGGGTGGTGGTTTTGGTTTTTTTTTTTAATGCCTGCTCTCTGCTGTTGCTGGACAATATTGAGCTGTAGCTCAGGAGGGGTTTTAAAGCTGAGCAAGGTGGATGGACTCCCCGATGGGCGACTTCTTGCTGGCAGGGGCGAGGGAGAGCCTTTTCTGCGTGGTTTCGGGGAGGGCGAGTGCAGCACCGCGCCATCCAATTTCTTTCAAAAGAAAGGTGGGGTTTTTTTTACTTAGTTTGTGGTTTTTCTTAGCCAAGGTGGCCTAATTCGCTGCTTCTTGGCTGCCAAAAAGGTGAAAAGGGAGTTTTTCTCGTCCCGAGCACCCTCGGAGCCTGTGCCGCCGCTGTGCTGCCTGCCTCGGCATCGCGTTCCCCTCCCTTCCCCTGCCTCCCTAAACACATCCCCTCTCCCCGGAGCCTGGTGGGAATAGCTGGCGGCTGGCAGGATGCTGACCAGGGAAGAGGGCGAGTGGGATACAGAGCAGTCCTACCATAAATCTCGCCCCGTATACGCTCCCAGCCCCGACAGTTTCCCGGGCTGGCTGCAGTCTGAAGGTGCAGCGACCGTTCGCCGCTTTATTCTCAGTTTCTACCCGCTTTGAACTAAGAAAGGGCGAGGAAGAGCTCAGTATCCATAGCTTAGCAGGTAGGTTTAGCGCCAGCAAATCCTGCACTGAAGTCCCGCTGTTGAGCTGGGCTTCAGCCGCCCGATGAACGCCGGTGAACATAAAAAGGGAGGTGAAAGGATGGGCCGCCTCCCACTGCAGAGGCTAAAAAAGGCTAGGAAGGAAAAGGAAAATGCATAATGATCGCGTTTCCTTTTGGGAAAGGGAGCGGGAGGAGATGTCCTCGTTTCTCCTGACCTTTTCAGGTGGCTGTTATGGTGCCGGCCGCATTTATTACGCTCACTTGATTAAAATCAAGAGATGATGCATCTGTTGCGGGAAGCAATCATGCAAACACCCTGAGCTTTGATGTTCCCCGGGACGCTTCATTTAGCAGCCGGGGCAAACGGCAGAGCCTGTTTCCCAGCCTGCGCTGCCGACGCCGGTTAACCCGAAGCGAACCAACGCCTGCTTTTCAGATGAGATGGCAGCTCGAGCCTCTCCTGCCTCATCTGTTGGCATCCCATAGGGAACGGCGGTTGCAAATTGGTTGCCCTCCCTACACCAGCAAATGCCCTGCTGCTTCAGGGCTTCAGCTTTAGCACAGAGGTATCTCGGAGGATACCCTGATGAACCTCATGCCCTCCCCACGCAAGAAAACAGTCGGTAATTAAGAGCAGGGACGTAAAACGCTGCAAACTGGTGCATCTCTACCTGCGCAGGGGTGCTGCTGCCTTGCCCAAAACCCCTCCAGAAACTCAGTCGTGCCGCCGTCTTGCCGAGGGTCTGCGGGAAATGGCTGATCTACAACCCCTGGGGTGCTGGTGACCAGCTCCGGGGGCCTGCTGGGATGTCCCAAACCTTTTCAGCATCATTTAGTGCTGATTTATTTATCAAGGCCACATGGGCTGAGGGCTTTACTTTTCACAGCCGGGGGATTTAGCCAGAGGTAGAAGCGGCCAAGCCAGGGGATGTGGGCTGGAGTGAGCATCCCCTCCCCAAACCAGCCATGCCATCAGCTAGCCCCCGGCTTCACCCACTAGTAGTTGAGCACATAAACTGGGGATTAATAAAACACTTGGCTGTATTTTAGCGGCCAAGTTTTTCAAGGATTGAAAATAAAGCTGTGGAGCAAACACCCACGCGTGTGAAACGGGGCACCTCTTGGCCCAGGGGCGTGGGTGGTCAATGCACCTTCCCACAGACTCGTGGGCTGTGTTTGGGGGGAAAAAAAACACAGTTAAATGAAAAAAAAAACAAACAATGAGCTTCTGCGCAGAAGCACCTGCAGGAAAATAAAGGGAGCGGTGATGGAGCAGCACCGTAACTGCTTGTGGTCCCTGGCGAGGCAAGGCGAAGGATTTCACAGCGGGGCAACGCAGGGAGGTGATTTCAGAGGAAGGAGCACGTGAAAGCACGGGAGACCCCTGCCCGCTGCTGGCTCTGGCTCAGCAGCCCCCGCGTCCCCCCACCCAAGCCGTGGGGCAGCAGCATTTCAAAGGATGCCACGGCGCTGGCTGAACCTCCATCCTCTCCCTTTACCTCCCCCCATCCCTTCCCCCTGGGGAATTCGGCTTCCCTTGCCTACAAACCAAGTGGCCGACGTGCCCCAGGACCCAGAGTTTCCTACGCAAAGGCCAAAATTCAGGTTTATTGTGGGTGCCGCACGCCCACCCTCCGGTCGCCTGTCGTCCTCTGGACCCACCAGAATCCTGCCCGCAGCAGTGGCTCAGCGCCCGGGCATCTCCTCGACAGCGGATGCTCTGCTGCAGAAGCGCTTATAAATTAAGGATTTTTTTTTTTTTTTTTTTTTTGCTTCGTCCCTGCTAGGAGTCGTCATAGAGAGGGTTGTTGTAGTTGCCCCAGGAGCCGTAGTCGTGGTCATCCAAAAGCCTGCCGTAGGAGGAGTGCCTGCCAGGAGAAAGCAAACCGCCCAGCGTTACCAGTTGCTTTGGTGGATTATTAGTCATTTTACCATGGGGCGAGAAAAAAATGCATGCAAGTCATCACTAGGTCAAGCTTTGGGACATTTTAGCAGGAAGCACCAGGACAGAAAATAAGCCCAGGCAGGATTTTGCCCCCGTTGAACCAGACTGGGACATGCCAGGGAATTAAAACGAGACCTTTGCTCGTCTCAGTTGTTGGCAAAGCCTCATTACAGATGCTCGGTGCTGGGCCGTGCTGCTGTTTATTGTCTAAGTCACAGCAAGACCCGTGGCAGCAGCTTGCCCTAGGGATAATTACTGGTTATGACTACGCTGAACAGCGTCTCCGGCATTTGAGTGAGGCTGTTGTAAAATGAGGAAAAACAACTCTGCTTTTCAATATAGACGTGGTAGAAAATGCGGCCATGCTGGGATTAGAGGCTGCACGTCGCCCCGCCAGGCTTGGGGACAGCGTCTCCCCAGGGCTTTGCCCTTGAGCATCATCCTTGTGATGGAAA